TAACTGCATAGAGGCAGAGCTCAAACTGAAAATACTAAATAATACAAAGAAGCAGTTGATGCTGTTTATGAGCTGTTGACTCGTCCGAATTTAGAAGGTTTCTTTTTTAAATGCAGTTGTGGATGTAGCACTTTATTAATTTGAAGATAGGTTTCACACCATGGAAATGTCAGGGAGACTTTTGGTCTTCCTTCATATTCTTCATATTCCCTTTATGGGAAGTGGTGTTAGTGAGGCCAGCAGGGGGCGCTCAACCTGTGGTCTGTGTGAGTCCTAATGCCCCAGTAAAAGTGAAGGGGACACTATACTGTCAGTGGGCGCTGTCTTTCGGATGAGACGTTGAACCGAGGTCCTGACTCTCTGTGGTCATTAAAAATCCCATGGCACTTCTCGTGAAAGAGCAGGGGTGTAACCCCGGTGTCCTGGCCAAAGTCCCTCTATCGGCCCTTACGATCATGGCCTACCAATCATCCCCTTCCACCTAATTGGCTCTATCACTGTCTCTCCTCTCCACCAATAGCTGGTGTGTGGTGAGCGCACTGGCGCCGTTGTCCTGTGGCTGCCGTCGCATCATCCAAGTGGAGGCTGCACACTGGTGGTGGTGTGGAGAGACCCCCCTCATGATTGTGAAGCGCTTTGGGTGTATGGCCATACACAATAAATGCGCTATATAAAATACACATTACAAAAAAAATACATTACATTATGCCAAGAGAACAGGGATGAAAAACCATAGCATTAAAAAGCACTCATTGAGGAAGGGCATGTAGATATCTCTAAAATGGGAACCTTCCACCATTACATCATGAAACATCTTCTGAAATATCAACAGAAGCAATTAAAGGAGATTTATCTCTCAGACATCCAGTTCCTCTGCTAGTACCTGTAGCAGCTGCTGAAAGAAGTTTCTCAAAATAGAGACTTGTGAAAAATGACTTGCTCTCCACAACGAGTCAGGAATGAATTAGTGGACTTGCTTTAATCAGCATTAACAGAAAACTTTCCCAGCAGATATTTTATAGTAGTTATTGATGACTTTGCTTAAAACGTCAAAAGGTGGTGGAGATTAACTTAAATTATATGTGTGAGTTTTTCACAGACTTCAACAGAGGGTAAAAATCTTGATGGTTCTGTGGGTCTTGTCTATCAAATCTGATCTTTATTTTTTATTTTATATTAATCAATTAATTTTACATTGCATTCAAGTTAGGTAATTGGCTGGGCCATTCTACAACCTGCTTTTCTTTATCTGCAACCATTTGAGAGTTTTCTTGGCTATGTTTTGAATCGTTGTCTTGCTTTATATATATATATATATATATATATATATATACACACACACACACACAGTTGGAGTCAGAAGTACTAGCCCCCCTGTTTATTTTTTCCCCAATTTCTGTTTGGTGGAGAGCAGATATTTTTCAATACATTTCAAAACATAATAGTTTTAATAACTCATTTTTAATAATTTTTTTTATCTTTGCCATGATGACAGTAAATAATATTTTACTGGATATTTTTCAAGACACTTCTTTAAAGCCTAAAGAGACATTTAAAGGCTTAATCAGGTTAATTAGGTTAACTAGGCAGATTAGAGTAATATAGGCAAGTTACTGTTTGATGATGGTTTGTTCTGTAGACTATCGAAAAAAAATACAGCTTAAGGGGGTGATAATTTTGTCTTTAAAATGTCTTTAAATTTTTTTTAAAACTGCTTTTACTCTAGTCAAAATAAAGCAAATAAGACTTTCAAATAAAAAGTAGAGTTTTAAGGAAAAGAAAATGTACAATATATACAATTGTACAAAAAATGTGGTCTAAAAATATACATAAAATGTAGTCTAAAATTGTACATAAGGAATAAAAATTTGTAAACAATACAATGATATTAAGGGCATATAGCAAATATGTCCCATATATATATATATATATATATATATATATATATATATGGGGCATATATATATTTAACTATTTAGTATCATATATATATTTAATATCATATATATATATATATATATATATATATATATATATATATATATATATATTTAACTATTTAATAAATGTGGAGTGCAGAAGGGGTGCAGAGTGCAGAGGAGAAGATGTGTCAGGGGACCTCAAAATGTCTACAACTGGCACTGCTTTGCGTCCTGAACAGTGACACTACCAGATTTTAAGCATCCTACTGTGGGCTGCAGTAGAGCTCCTAATCCTCACCTCTCTCCATGTAAAGAAACTGAATCTGAGCCAAGCTAGAAAACATCTAATTGTTAACCTACAATTACCTACTCTAACCTTGGTTTTGGGGTCACAGTTTGATATGGGTACAACAGTAATAAGCGACAAATCTTCAGTGCAATTTATTTCTCTTATTTTGAACAGGCTGAAGGCATCATGGTGGTGCAGTGGGTAGCACGATCGCCTCACAGCCAGAAGATCACTGGTTTAAGTCCCGGCTGGGTCAGTTGGCATTTCTGTGTAGAGTTTGTATTTTCTCCCTGTGTTTCCTTGGTTTTCCTCCAGGTGCTCTGGTTTCCCCCACAGTCCAAAGACATGCTCTATAGGTGAATTGGGTGAGCTACTGTAAAATGGCCATAGTGTAAGTATGGGAATGCGAGATAAAGGGACTAGGCCGTAAAGCAAATGAATGAATGAATGACGAACAGGCTGAAGTGTTTTGTCACAGTCATCTACAGAACTGAATAGATTCTTGTGATGCAAAAGTATATAATAAATAGAATAATGAAAATTAAACTTTACAAGTAGGAGACTGTAAAAGACTTTAAAAGTTGATTCCCTGCCATATCCTGAAATAAATGATAAACAATAATTTTGTATTAAATCTAAAATTCAGTAAGCTTTAAAATCTCTTTTAATGTAAGTTATAACACTGTGTCCATCATAACAGCAGGTTCAGCAAACAACAACTGTTCAGTCTTGTGCATGTGCGTGTGCATGAGATGACACAGAATCTTATCTTTCCATTGTTTTTCTATCTAAACATCATTAAGAGACAGATGTGGCCATTATACACTTGTATTTTCTGTAGCACCTCACACATGAGAACAGCATTTTTTTACTTGCTGTGTTAAAATAAAACAATTTCAGCTTTTATATGCAACAGTGCTTATTAATGTCAGTTCCAGAGCAGTGGACTAATCAAATGAACTCGAAGAAGGGACAAGGGTTATGCTTCTGTTTATAGTAGCAAGTCGGCATGACAGTGGCAACATGGTAGAACCATCTCTGAGCACTGTGTCTCATGTTTTAGATGCGAAGATGCAATATTTGTGAATGGCTGCAAAGTTAAACTGTTAAACTGCTGTTAAATTTTTGTCTCACTGTATGTGTCATAAAAGTTCATAAACTGAACCGTGAGGCCCATGCCGTGACAGTTTGAGTTGAATACAAATATCATTACACCCCTTAATATATAAAAGTTTTTTAGCCCCCTCCACAGATTCTCAATTGGATTTAAGTCAGGACTCTGGCTAGGCCATTGCAAAACGTTAATGTGTTTGTCTGCAAAACCATTTCTTCACCACTTTTGCTCTGTATTTTGTTGTTGTCTTGCTGCAATGACATACTAGACATACCAATTTCTATTCAAATGTAAATAAAAGCTGATAAATATTTTTTCCAACTATCTTCTACATCTTATTATCTTTTGGGAGAAGTATGAAAAAAACCTTGCTGGTTGAATAAAAGTACCTTTAAGTCAGAATTTGCTAGGAGTATGAATAATTTTAGGCTTGATTGTATTTGTATAATTTTTCAGGTGCTTAAGTTAGAACTTGTTTGCTTGTATTTAGTTATTTGATGCTCTAATAACAGGTGTCATTATTGAGTACTTCTGATTTCGTCTGTATGGAGTTTGCGTAAGATTATTTTACTGTATATATCAAGCTAGATATAGAGCATTAATCTGCATCTTTGCATCTATATATATATATATATATATATATATATATATATATATATATATATATATATATATATATATATATATATATACATTCTACAGTGTATATGAATTCTACTAATACTAATTCTACTACCCAGATACAGTTTATAAATCACATAATATGTTCTAGAACACTATTCACTGACTTGATAAAATGAATAAATAGTACCTATGGTCCTGTTGGTTGATAATTGTTACAATTACAATATAGTGAAATTATAATTATTAATGAATAATAATAATATCAATTATGTTTCTGTAATATTTATTAACATTTTTATTTCTTTACAAACACTGCTCATGTTCGGCATGTATATTTGATCATTTCTAGAATTTTGATCTTTCTTTCTTTCTTTCTTTCTTTCTTTCTTTGTTTTTTCTTTCTTATAATAAAATTTTAAAAAACAGAGTATGAATACAAACTTTTATTCAGTATCCAAACTACTGGCTAAAGAAATCAAATATATGTCAAAGCATTAATATGGTATTCATGTAAAATTCAGATGCGTTATAGTATATATTTACTCTTGGTAATGCAATATTTGATCATTTTTAAATTGCAGACTCTCTTGCATAACTTTGTTTCCTGTGGCTGATGAGCAAATCAGATCTGAGGACAGGCTTCACTGGCCAGGTTTTGAGCACCTCTGCATCGCTTGTTATTATCATAGGAAGATGCATAAAATTCACATTTATAAAATGCATAAGTTTTACAAACTGTGTAAAAAATATTAATAACAATTCATGAATTATTTAGTGAATAAATGTGACGAGTCACATTGCTAATAAAAGGAAAAATATCCCTTAGCTCACCCTTTGAATGATGAATAGCACCAAAACATTAAATGTAGGACATATACGCTTATTTAATAATTAATCTGCGGTTTTTAACAGAGTGGGGGCACTGGAGTGTACAGGGGAGTTGACATATGACTTTATCAAGTACATAGCATCATTTATTTAACTCAGAGATGTCACACGCAAACGCAATGCTCTTTAGGACCGTGCGATGTCACACCGACCGCTCTCAAGAATGGGTTCAGTCCGTCAGCACAGCACACACACTGCCACATCCCAGCGCGAGCGGAGCGCGGCAATTTGATGTCGACATAATCTGATGAAGTAGCAACAATCAGGGGGAAAAGTGGATCTTCATGCGCACATCCAGGGAATATTCCAGCTGGCTTCAGGATGAAGACACCGATGGTAAGTATAGTGAAAACTGTTTGACTGTTTGAATGTCTCGAGTCTCTGTTGTGCAGCATTATTGAAGTACTGCGGCTCTCTGTTGCTTTCACATGCTAAATGAAAGACTAAACAACAACAACAATAACAACTAATATATATATATATATATATATATATATATATATATTAAAATAATAAAGATTTTTATTAAAAACAATGATGTATTTTGTGCAAAAATAATGCAAACAGTTTTATTTTAAGGCGATACTACAACAAATGCATTCGTTGAAATATTATACTTTTCTGTGTTAACTTTCTTTTTGTTATTATACAATATAGAGATATTCTTAGAGCAATAATTTAGTTGCAAAAATTTTATAGTATCAAATGCATTAGTTTTAGATTAGAAAAAGTTCCTATTTTCTCTGCCTGAATCTAATGAATGATTTGAGCATGGAAGTGTGATCTATAATTGACTGCGGTGATGGCATGACATGATTTATGACCTTGCGCTGTGTGGGGATTTAAACTTTTGCCCCCGTGTTTTCCAGCGTCATGGAGTTGCCGTGTTTCTCGCCATCACCATGTGCACCAGTCTGTTGTTCGTGTATAACGTCAGCTACAATAATAATAGCACTACAGCAGCCAGCGCGTCTAAGGGCGCTTCAGGTGAGACAGTGGAGCCCACCAGAGCGGCCCGCGCGCATCCAGCACTGCAGGGATACAGCAGCATCATTGAGCACAAGGTAAACGCTCATCGTTTATCTATTCCACTTTAATTATCTGTTACTGATGGCTTGGTGGACAAATCTATCGCAGCGATATCATATGTTGCATTGGTGTATTTATGTCAGTAACAAAAATACATTAAATAGATCTTTTACGCCAAATATTCATTAGATAATTAAGTAAAATCATGTTCTGTGGTGAGTTATTTAATGTCCCACTGTAAATATTTACATCATGATTACTAATGTGCATTGCTAAGCACTTCAATGAGTGTTTTTCTCAATATTTTGTTGATTTTCATATAGCTGTATGTCTCAAACATTTAATGTCTTACCTCTACAAAGCATATTCATTGGTGGAAAACTTGCATATTTAACTGCAATTGTTATACAACAAAAACCATAACCTTAATTACAAATTTAACTACAATGTCTTGCAAAAATGCTTTCTCTGAATTCATGTCAGGTTATTTAATTTTGCCACTGACATGGTTTGAAGTCGATTATGTTTCAAACCATTAAAGGTATTGGTGTATCTGCAGGCTGGTGCTCATTTTCTCCTTGTTCATAATATCTTTAAAATTGAGTTCCACTGTTAGATGAATTTAACTGTTTAACCATTATGACTGACCTTTATACCTGATCATAACTTGCAATCTGCACTTTATGTATAACAATTTTGTTCGCGGAGAGACAAAAGAAAGAATGCATAAACTGTTTATTTTCCTTATTTTGCAAAAGCACACACTTTTGTTGTTATTGTGAGTGCACACACAAAAAAGTAGACGCTTAACAGTTTTGAATGGTGTATAACACTTATTTGTGTGGCCAAAATCAACAGAGTATTCTTATAGTGCCTTTGGCACTGTAAAGAACAGATGCTGGTCATGGTATAGTGTGACCAGGACCCTCAGTGTGTTAACAGACCTAATATAGTGGAAGTGAAATAGAGAACACTCTGCATAGAAATGTTAATAATGATGACATTTTACGGTAATACTTTATTTTGATGGATTATTTAACTATTAGAAGACTTCTTAAGTCTGCTTAATATCTGTTGATACTGTTCCTTCGACAGACATGTAACTGACTATAAGAAACTTTGCAAGTACTTGTCAACTTACACTAACCCTAACTCAAAGTAGTTACAGTCTTCTTATAATCTATTGAGAATTAGTTGACATGTTGATGCAATATAACAAACGGACCATCAAAATAAAGTGTGACCCATTTTAGCCTAGAAATTCGACAATATAAACAGTTAACCACTATGCGACATGGCAATTCCTGCACATTCCTGAATTCATTAGTATTCAGCTTAAATTGACATTTAAATGCTTAACTAGCTATTGAACTACAGTGCTTTGTTCTATAGCCAATAAAAAAAAAGGGGGGGGGGGGCTAATACTATTTAAATTGTAAAAAATACAATTGGGGAATTGATTTGTGATTCCATAATTATAATATATTATAAGTTTGTATGCTTGGAACATCAGGGCATGTTGTCACCAAATGTTTCCCTCTCCAAGTGAAGTTTATTTATTAACAAATTTTGAGAGGATCACGTGCTTATGATTGTTCACAGCTGTTCCAACTTTAGCTAATGACTAATTATCCTATCAGACGATCTTTAACTCACTATAAATAACCAGACTTTTCTCATCTCAATAGCTTCGTCTTGAAGAAACCCCCCCACCCAACCCTACTTTCCCTCCTTTCAAACGGGAGACACGGTGGCCAGCGATTAGCGCTGTTGCCTCACAGCAAGAATGCCCCTGGTTTAATTCCTTTCTAAACCAGGCAACTTTTCTGTGTGGAGTTTTGCTCGTTCTCCCCGTGATCGCGTGGGTTTTCCCCGGGTCCTCCTGTTTCCTCCTACAGTTCAAAAACAAGCACCCTAAACAATTCATCCAAAATATTTTAGCTAAACTCTTGAGTACACCTTCTCAGCATCCATATCTGACACTTAGCTACAATAAGCATGAGGGGGAGTCGTCAAGATCTACCTGAGCTCAAACTCCCCTATCGCCTTGCAACGGTAGGGAGCCCAGGGCTCGAGGATCTTATAAGCTCAGGGCTCTCTCCCGGGACAGCACGCCAAACTAGCTTTATTATCAATCATCAACTAAGTGTAAACTCTTGAATATAGGTTTAATCATTATTAATTGCTTTTAGAGAAATTGGCTTTCAAAATAAAGAATGAACTAGTAGGTTTTGCATTATTTAACTAGTGTGATTGGTGTGCTTGAGATTTGTTTAGTGGTCTGCTTTTATCTGATCTTGTAGATAGTGGACAGCAATACTGTGTTTTTTTTAAAGTTTTTTTTTTAATGTTGCTGTCGCAAAAACATTATTGCAGGGCCTTGACATCAGCATTTGCTGAAAGCCGGAGATCTCTCAGTTTTAATTTAATTAATCTCAAATTAATATTTATTTTCCTCTGTGGTAACGATAAAAGCGTTCAGAAATGTACTTTAAATATAAAAGCTTATTGCTTATTCTCAAAGCTTTTTCACTACAATTAATTCCCTGAAAAAAAAAACTCTAGGCTGCAGTAGACTAGAAAATTACCGTAATACATTTTTGAACAACGATCTTGGAAGATGATGTGGTTAAAAATTGAACGGTGGCATTTAAAATATGTAACCACTGTCTGCAAGTTGACATTTTTCTCCTAGCTTTTTTCCTAGCTTTGAGCCAGTTCAGTCAATGTTGCTTGAAACATACTGAGAGGTTTAAAGCTTATTTACTTGCTGAGACTGCTAATCAATACGCCGGATTAGTTTAGAAAGTCATAACACATTCAAAATGACATATTCTATTCTCATCACTAAATTAATAATTTCTCTTGTTAAAATCGACTGAGTTGCATTAGTAGATTCCCCCTTCCCCCCCAAAAAAGCTGAAGGGAAGAGTCAGATTGCAGGCACTCACACAGTTCTTTGCGGAACCTTCCTCCATCGCCCATTAATCACTATTTACCCCTGGCTCAGGCAGACAGTCCGTTCGATACTCTACTGCCTTTTGCAATATCAGTCTCAACTCGAGCAAAATCCCTCATTGCCCTCTTTTATCTGATATTGATAAACCCAAAGCAAATTTTCTGCAATGAGATTTGACACCACTTGTCTGATGCCACTGCTTACTGGCTGCAATTGTTCTTCACATGTGGGCTGAGAGAAAATGTACTGTTATGATAGTCGCAGTGCACTTTTAGTCACAGAAGACCTGTTGACAAAGCCAAACGACTCTGTGATCGATTGCAGAGTTACGCTGTGGGTCTGTCTGTTTGTTTTTGTCTTTGTTTTTTGGGTTGGGGGTGTCTCTAACCGGTTGTACTGTAGTTGTCATTTAGTAAATCATTTAATTTCGTAATGAAACTAGTTTTAATGTCAACCCAAGCTTATTGGAGATACATGCCCAGGGCTACATCTTTGGGAAGCATGAAATATGTGCCTAGGGCTACGTCTTCTTGAGGTTTTTATTTTTTACAAATGCACTAGAGGCCTCTGTGTATATTTTTTTCAAATAAGGTACTAGATTTTCTCATACAGTGCTCAGCATATATAAGTACACCCCTCACAAATCTCTCTTTTAAACTCATATTTTTAATAGGAAGATATATAATACTATATTTGTGCATATACATTAGATTAGTCAGTAGTACTGAAGCTAAGTCTGGAGCTTATCCAACAAAATAACCCAAATTTATATAACTTTTGACAGCTTTTCCCTTTTTTATGGTGTTATGCGCACATTATATTTCACAAGCATATGCAAGGGGACTGAAATTGAAATTAAAAAACTAAAGATACTAAGCCATTAATAGTTTAAAAGTTTTATATATATATATATATATATATATATATATATATATATATATATATATATATATATATATATATATATATCTTTTCAAAGTTTGCAAATTTAAAAAAAAGAAAAAAAACTGAAATGCAAATTAAGTGTGTTTTCTTCGAGTTGTTGGAGCAGCTGACTGCTCAGCAGGTACAGGAGGTCAACATGGCGTCAGACTGATGTTGAACGCCAACATTGTGGGGACATTGTGTTTTGTTTGGAAATGAAAATCTAGTTAACGTCACAACCCAAATGTCAAGCTGACATTAGTGTCCAACGTCCAACCTGAAGTCAACCAAATATCAACCTCTACTGATGTTACAGCTGGACGTTGTGTGGACGTTACCACTATGACGTCTTCAGACATTGGTTTTTGGTTGCCATACCAGATGAATAAATGTTAGTATTTGACATCAATATGACGTTGGTTTAAGATGTTGGCTTGAAGTTAGATTTTGGTGACTTTCCAACAACCTAAAAATCAACCAAATATCAAAATCATTTCATGTCATTATTGGATGTCAAAAAATAATGTTGTCCTTAGATGCTGGCTAAACATTGCATTTTGTTCACCTGACATCACAACCTAAATCTAACCTATTAATAACATCTGATGATGTTGTGTGCCTTCTGTAGTATTGGTAACATATTCGTAAGCAAGGCAAGCATAAAGGAGACTGGTTAATCACATTTGTGTAATGTTTGCAATGAGTTTATAGAACAAACGCACTTCCATCTCCCACTAATAAGATTAAGGGCCCTATTATACACCTGGCGCAATGTGGCGCAATACTTGTCTGGTAGTTTCAGCTTGGCGCAAGAGTCGTTTTGAGGCGTTGCGCTACGCTGTTTAAATAGCAAATGCATTAGCACTCATATGTGCATCCATAGGCGTTCTGGTCTAAAAAGGAAGGCGTTCTGAGGCGCGCTGATGGCGCGTTGCTATTTTGAGAAACTAAAATAGATTTTTCATTAGACCAAAACAAACCGGGTCTAAACTTTAGCGCAGAGTTGCGCCTCGCTTACACACTGCTTAATACGCACAAGAGAGCAATAGGCAAATATCTTTACATATGAAAAAATTTAAATATTAAGGATACATATAGAGTATAATAAGAATAGATATAGGATATAAATATAAAGGATTAAAATATTACAAA